AGAAACTGGTGTTTGTAGCATAGGCTTGTACATACCCCAAAGTAAATTACTCATATTTTGTGTAAAAATATGTTTGCAAAATAAATAATTGTAAGAAATATGGTGGTATTTTTTATAGATAATTTTCTTTGTTTTCGTTATCAAATTTCTTCCATTTACGGTATGTTTTTCGAACTAAATCATAAAGCGTTGGTTATTTACACTCAAAGTTATTTAATACACATTCCAAAACACATTCTATTGGAATTCTTATAACGATAGTTTTATCATTGAAAGTTTAGTGAGAATAAATATAAAGGTTTGCGAATCCTAAAACTTTACCGGTTAAGTATTTTTGATGATATTTTTATGGAACATTTATTCAATTTTTCAACGATAGCAATGCGTTTTAGATATATTTGGCATACATTTAGATATTTTCTTGGTTTAAAACACAACCAAACATCATTTTCAACTTGTAAAAGTAGTTTCTGTTATATATTGTTAAAATGTGAACAGTTGTTTTTTTAGTAAATGTACGAAAACATTTGGAAAACACCTCTTATGCCCAATTTCACCAAATCCTGGCTAACGATGGTTTTGTTAATCTTCGGTTAAAAGTAACTGATGATTTAAACCACAGTTAAGGAAATCTGGTTTCACCAACGAAAACGTATCAAAACTAACGCTGGTTTTATAAACGAGAGTTTAGAGTAAAACCCAGGTGGCGGTGGATGTTATCTGTCATAATACCGGGCTGCTATGGGAGCAAGTAAACAGTAAACATAACCTAGAAAATAAATCCGTGTTAATGAGGTAATGAAAACAAAACTGGAGACAACAAGCTTACAGGAATGCAATAGATTCTGTGCAAAAAGGACAAAATAACAAAAGAAAGCAAGAAAAAATAGCAAAATAATTAATATGAGTAAATAAAGGCAAAGCAATGTTGATCAAACATATTCAATTGAGGAACAAATTGATTGAGTTTTGCGGTCGAGTCACGACTCAAAATGTAACTTTTCGTCTGACCGAACGCCAAACAATTGTTTGAACGTTGGGTTAGGGTTAGTCAAAACCTGGAAAAGGAAAAGGGAGTCTATTTTTTAACAATGAAAAAATAAATTTGATAATGTTGGTGGAAAACACTCTTTTCTGCCGAGATAAAAGAGTGGCTCTTTATCGCCAATCAGTCCAACGCGATCGTTGATCACAGAGATGCGCCTTTACTAAAATCCTTGTGGGATAAAACCTAAAGCAATGCACTATGTGGGATAGCCTAAATACAAACCACTAAAGTGATTTGTATTCATTGCCTAAAGAAAAAGGCAAAACGTTTTGATAGTTCATGTCAAATAATAAATCAATTTCGTATTAAAACCATTATCCCTTTCTCTTATCCACCAAGTTCGGAAATCAACATAGGCTACTCTTCATCACTATCACTTTCAAAAGCTAATTCGTATCGTATTCTCTTCTACAATTAATAAACTTTAAACTTAAAGCCAGCTGATATTTACTTAACGAAGGATTAAAGAAGTTAACCGGTCAAAATTGGGCAGTTAATTATCTTACGACGGTTTAGTCTAAACTAGCGCTAACGGCGAGTGGTGAAATCCGGTTAAAATGTCTCGCTGCCTTTCTTTACAACATTTTAATTATTTTACTAAATTTATATAACCATTTGGCACTTGCATTATTCATTAATACCCCCGCCGCAGCAAACCTTCATTCTAAGCGAATTTCCATTTGACTGATTGGATTTACACTAAAATGTCTCCTTAAAAATATCACATTTATTCCCTATTTAAATAGTATTAGTTTAACGATTACTTAGGTTGGCTGCAACAGGGAGGGTAAAAAGTTTTTTTTGTAAAATGGTAATAGTTTAGTATGAAATGAATGCATTTTCCAAATTTGATCAAAATATATTCATAAACAAGCAAACGACAACAGTTTATTTATACTTCATAAGAATAACATGGGAAATTCAAATTTACAGTTTTTGGAATTTTCTCCGTAACCATTAGGCGCATAATAAAGGTTGAATATACTAAATTATTTTTTTTAAGCTCTACAAAATGGTTTCAAAAGAAATTGTGAAAATTTGTGTTATTAGGGTCAAAAAGGGAAAACCTATTTTTACCCCATAAAACCCCCCATAAACCCCCGTTCCTATCGTCCGATCATGCTGGTTCGCGAACTCGTTCGAATAAACGTAGGTATACACGTTTGTATCAAATTTCATCAAAAACAGACGACTTTTGCTCTAGTTATCGCGCTAACGGATACATATATATGAATTTTTGTTTTTGGTCTCTAGGGACCTCAAAATGAAAAAGTAAATCGGTCCCGGGTCCAGGTCTTACCATGAGTACTACGGTAATAGCTTATTCCCTAAATGGAAAATTCGCTAAAAAGAAACGAAGAATAATTTTAAAACACAAATCCCTTAAGAAATATGTCAGGCGCAATGCGAACCTCTATAGAATTCTCCCCTGAATGTTTTAGTGACTGTAAAGACTTCCGTGAGCTTTGCAGAGCTGGTGTGTCAAATCAATAAAATTTTGTTGAGTACATTATCAAATAATTATAAGATATTGATAAGAGTTTAAATTTGCTTATTACTTAGAAGAAAAAAAATCTTTTTTTGTAGCTAAGGAGTATTTCTAAACATATAAATCATAAAATATCATGGTTTTTATATAATTGCATGCACTTGTAGAAAAATATACGTACATACAGTACAATAAATTGTCTGAGAATATTACCAATCAGATTGAATGAATGAATGAATGAATTATATGAATGAATGAATTATATCTTTATTCCAACAAATTATTTACAGAAATTTGTACACAACTCCTATATAAAGGAGAAAAACATATATACTGAAGTGAATTAAAAAAAATAACATAAAATTAACCTTTGCATTACATCTATGTTTACAAAGCGTACATGTTTATAAAGAATAATCCAAATGGACAGCGAGCCTGTGAGTCAACTGTAGTTGCATCCAAACATAACATTATTTATCAAAAACAAAATCTAAATAAATAAATAACAGAAGATATGATGAGGTGAAGATATGGTCTAAATGGAGTTTCAAGAGCAAACCATGTGAAAAAATGCTAGTAGCATAATTAAGTTTAAATAAAAAATAATATAACTGTAATAGTGACAGAGGTACTACGGTTTTCAAAGTGTGTCTAGAGGGTGGTGGGGCGGGCGGTGGAGAACGAGTCGTCAGGGTACAATGGTCAGGTCGCATGTCGTGTCAGGAGCGTCTGTGTCTGTAATCAGCTGTGATGATAAGCTCAGCCTCGTCCATGCCTAGACCAAGTAACCACTCATTGACACGGCGTTTGAATATGTTTAAAGTGGGGGAGTCAAAGAGATTAATGCTTTGAAAATTGTTTTGCAAGTTACGAAATAGAACGTGTGCAATATAAAATGAGTTGGTCGATGAAAATGATTTCTATAGTTGTAGTGATGAAATTCCAATTCGGGTAGAATATCTAGTATTATGTGTATGGGAAATTATGGAGAAAATGTTGTTATAATTTTTAAAAATATGACTTAGAACATTTTTTATGAAAAGTTAACACAGTGATTATTACCGATAAGCATTAAATTAACTATATAATACTGTATATTGATTTCATAGTGTTTTAGGTTGAAGCAGCAACCCTTTTACCCAAATAGGATTAACCTTATTGGCCGTCTTAGGTTGTAGTAAATGTTAATAACATGTTAATGCTATAAAAGTAGTAATACTTTACTTTGAAATGGCGACCAAACGAAGGTAGGTATTTTAACCAAGTCTGAATGGGGATTAGTGTAGGATGAGTGGCGTGATCTTGTAGTCTTGTTACTGACTATGGCCGACATGTTCCTTAGACACAACTGTTAATTAATAGCCCATACAGCTAATGACAACTAAGGAACCTACAGTTTATTGTGGAACCCGAACCACACTTTGCCTTGTAATTAACGAATTAGTCTAATTATCAGGACAGTTCTGCGGATTGTAGTAGTACTCAATAGTGTGGACGTTAATCCACACCAGGAAGTATCATATCCAGAGTTCATTCCTATAAATATCCACATTTCGTGTGTAATATAGGGTTACTTAATATAATATGAAATAGCCATAACCATAGACTAAGAGCATGTTTTATCTATGCCATAACCGTTGTTATTCTTTGAGTTTTAATTATTTCAATCTACTATAATCATTATGAATTGTGGTTCACAAGGATTAGTTTCATGGGTTTTTTAAAACACCGTAATCTATATGCTTTATACGATCAGGACAGTTTGTTCTAAATATGGCTTAAGAGTTACAAGCAAATATTATGCATTAAAACAAGCACCTTGGTTTGGATATTTGCAAACTGACCTTAGATTATGGACTTATGTTATAAAACTCGAAGCAATGCTATTTCATTTTGTTATTTTACTAAAACAAAATCTAGCTGATAATTTCTTAATATAAATTCCATCTTGGCTCATCATTTTACTCAATTATGACTGAAGAGTTTAAAGGAAAAGTAGATTTTTTTATTTCAATTATTTATTTTAGGCTATTGATATATTTGAGTTATAGTCCAAACAGAGTAATTAAAAATCAATTATTCTGCAGATTTTTACTTACATGCTAAGATTTCAAACTGATTATGTTTTTGGCCTCTTTGGACAACAGAACGAAAAAGTATATCAATCCTGGGTCTAGATACCACATGAGATCTATTGTAATAGCACATTCCCTTGATGTGAAGTTTGTTAATATCAAGTTATATTTATGAGATTAAATTGTAAAAATTACTTAAGTGAAATTTGTATATTATTAGATCTTATTATTTATTCGTGTTCTTATAATAATTAGGACCATTTCTTGTATAGTTGGGATATTTTAAAATTATACGTGATGTTGGTTTCAAAAATATTATTTTGTTGGAGTTCGAGCATTTTAATACCGTCGATATAACCATAATTATATCACCTGTGTCAACAGACTTGTGCAACTCCACATGTGCCATATTATCTATGGTAACGATATCGTACTGTGGTTGTGAGTTTGATCATTAACTAACGCAGGTAAAGATATGTCTCTAGTTTTGAAATATATTTCATATAAATTCTCAAAAACCTTTCATAAAATGTATTTAACTGCTAGTCCTTGTAGCTGTACGATTGTGTGTTTAAAAGTTGTAAATCTATTTCATATAAATTTTTAAAAACCTTTTAGAAAATGTCTTTAACTGCTAGTCCTTGTAGCTTTACGATTGTGTGTTTAAAAGTTTGTTTATTAATACAGCCAGGAGTTGTAACATTTGAAATCTGTTTGTTCATAACCATTATCATTATAACATATTAAAGCTGATAATAAGATTTTAACACTTTTTTCATAAAAACAATTTTATAGCGCTCTTTAATAAGAGAGGTGAATCCGCAGCCAATTTAAACATTTGCCAGGATATAAGCCTACAATTGGAATAAGCAATAGAAAATAAAGTGTAGGAATACTATCAAAGATCTCTGTATTATATACATTTTTTTTCATGGAGTTAAAATAATTTTAAATGCCATTGATGATGTTAAAACAAATCTATATTTAAATCTTGTATTAGTTTTATGTAGTATTTCCGATTAACTGCTTATATTTTGCATAATCCAGCACTGATTCTACAGTATTATGAAAATATTTTAAAGAACATTTAAGTAGAAAACTTGAAGGAATGATGCAATGGATGTTTTAAAGTTCACGATGGATTCATTCAATTATGTAGTGTTTTTAAAACCTTGATCGGGTGGCTAAACATAGAACACAATTCACGAATCATTGAATTTAGCTAACAAAAACCTTCAACTTAACAATAAAGTAAAAAATAATGAGTTTTTAACCATAAGAGAACTGATTATTAAATCATAAATTATTATGCTAGCCAAAAATTAATTAATATCATTATCATAGATAGTAATGTGTGTTTAACAGATAAACCGATCTACAAAAAGAATGTTATTACTTGCGTTATTCTTTGCTGGAATCACAGCAGTCTTGGCTGATGATGAAAAAATCATGGATGTAGGAAAATGTAAAGATATTGATGACCAAGAGCTGATGGATATTGATCCTTATGCTGCTACGGTAAGGTTTTATAATGATTTTACTTAAGGTTATCCACACCAAAATACATTTTTTCTTTGACTGCTGGTAGCTTTACGATTGTGCGTTTAAAAGTTTGTTTATTATTACAGCCAGGAGTTGTAACAATCGAAATCTGTTTGTTCATAACCATTATCATTATAACATATCAAAGCTGATAGTAAGATTTTAACACTTTTTTTCATAACAAACTATTTTATAGCGCTATATAATAAGAGAGGTGAATGAGAATCCGCAGCCGATTTAAACATTTGCTAGGATATAAGCCTACAATTGGAATAAGCAATAGAAAATAAACTGTAGGAATAACATTAAAAATCTCTAAATTATATTTTATTTTTATTTTTTCATGGACATAAAATAATTTTAAATGCCATTGATGATGTTAAAACAAATCTATATTTAAATCTTGTATTAGTTTTAGGTAGTATTTCCGCTTAATTGATTACATTTTGCATAATCCAGCACTGATTTTACAGTATTACGAAAACTTGTTAAAGAACATACACTATAAAGTAGAAAACTTGAAGGATATTTGTAATGGATGTTTTAAAGTTCACGATGGATTCATTCAAATATGTAGTGTTTTTAAAACCTTAATCGAATACCATAGATTTCGTGGTGGCTAAACATAGAACGCAATTCACGAATTATAGAATTTAGCTAACAAAAAACTTCAACTTATTAATAAAGTAAAAAATAATGAGTATTTAACCATATGACAACTGATTATTAAATCATAAATTATTAGGTTAGCCAAAAATTGATGAATATAATTATCATAGATAGTAATGTGTGTTTAACAGATACACCGAGCCACAAAAAGAATGTTATTACTTGTGTTATTCTTTGCTGGAATCACAGCAGTCTTGGCTGATGATGAAAAACTCATGGATGTAGGAAAGTGTAAAGATATCGATGACCAAGAGCTGATGGATATTGATCCTTATGCTGCTGCGGTAAGGTTTCATAATAATTTTACTTACCGTTATTCACACCAAAATACATTTATCACTTCTTAAAAAGTTGTGCATGAATTATAGCACATTTTCAGTTATTACAAACTAAACACGTAAAAGTCCAGGGTTGTGATTTCAGATAGTTCTATACAAAAATAAATATGCAGTACCTTAAGCATCTGATCAGGTCAGCTCCTGTCGCTTCTTGATGACTTTAAACTAAAAACTGAAATACAATTCATTGAGTATGCTATACAATTATTTGGATATTTAAGTATTACTGTTAACAAAAACTAAGAATGTAAATGAATTTAATTAGTAGTCTCTTTAGAACCTGTGAGATGGTTATTTAAAGTATCATAGGATACCTATTAATTACGCTTGATTCGTAATGCTAAACATGAAAGGGTTGGTGGCACTTATACGAGTTAATTTATATTCAAAAAGAATTATTTATAAATCTTTGTATTTTCGAATTTGTTGTATATTTTTTTATTATTAAAGTAGTCATTTACGAGAACTATATTGAAATCTTTCCAGCATCTGACGAGATAACTGGCAGTTAAATAACTAATACAATATATCGTTCAATTAGTTATTGTCCAAAACACTTAAGTCATTGTAGAATCATGTTAAATCACTTTTCATCACTCTGTATTCAAAAATAGCCCATTTCCATACAACTGAGATCTTCGAAAATCTTCAATTTCCATACACCAGAAACCCATAGTGATCAGCTGAATTTTATACAACATATTGTTAATTCTTCAGCCAAATTGTTTTTAGATTAGAAAAATGAATAGATAACAAAATATCAAATAGTTTTTTTAAGTTTGATGTAGTAGTTTTTAGATAAAAAGTATCGTTCAATACTCGTCACTAATCTCGATAGTTTTAATATTAGTAGATAGATTTCGACTCGCATGGGAAACACTATGGAGCCCCAAAATGGGTCACTTTCGGGACTAGTAGTGAAATATACTATTACCTATGCTCTGAAACTACTCAATAAATTAACTACAATATTTTTTAGTTCCTTTCGAAACCAAGTACGTGGGCAGTCAAGTTTACCACTATCACCAAAGAAAGATCAATGGGTCTCAATTCAATGGTGTTCAAAGTTGAAAGGAAAAATGAGATAAAAACTTACCTAAAATTCGAATGGCAGTTGTAAGTAATGTTGAATTTAAGTAAGGAAAATATAACTGACTATCTTAATCCCCATTTACAGCTGAATTTTATACTAATATTAATTCTACAGCCATAATGTGTTTAGATAAGAAAAATTAAAATATTAGAATAAATTCGGGATATTAGATAACGTAAAAGTTGCATTGATGAAGAAAACACAAAACAAAACGTATTCGTAAGACGTAATTACAATTTTTTGACAGAACATTTACTAACCTATTTTCAACAACATACAGTGCTTACCTACATTACAGCCTTTAGTTTGGTTATATTTATAAAAAGACGTACAGAAATACTTTTTTTAATCAAAATGTCGTAAATAGGAGGATTAGGTCCTTTTTTAACACTGATTCAAATTAAGGTTTTTTAAATTGTCTAGGTAAACATCGTTATTTTAAAGATTAGTCATAGGCAAATTGATTTTAATTGATAACATTAATAATTTTACTGTTATTATTTTAGATTAGGTGGGAAAGGTGGACCTGGTCAAAATTCCCAGCAAGAGTTACAGACAGAATTTTTTCTACATTATCTTAGAACAGCCTTATCTTACGCAGGTAAAGTACTAAGATTATAAAATAAGAAAGGCTAAACTTGGGTCAACCTATTTCACTTCTATTGTGTTAGAGGATTTTTATCCAAATGTTCAAATGGTTATTATATCGTATACCATTGTAACAGTGTACGGTGAGTCGGTGGCTCCGTTGGTAGCGTCGCGGACTTCGGGCCCTAGACAGCGATGTCGTGGGTTCGGATCCTGGTCACTGCCGCAAACATGTATCAGCACTGTTCACCTTCGTACTGTACCGGCTCACCCCTTGCTTTGCTGGATACGTTCCACGCACAGATCTGTAGTCTATGTAGTCCATCTATAGGGGGTTGAGTATGCACTGAAAGTGTAACTCTTTTTGACTTTTGATTGTTGTTGGGGGCATCTTGGAGATGACAAAAACCGATGTTGTAGCCCTCCCAACAGGTGCACAACTTAGAAGGGAGGGGGGGAAGGTGCTCTGAGACGCGTTCTAGAAAATCGCTCATATCTCGTGAACTAGACACGATAGAAACAAGCTCTAAACGGCATTGTATTACCAACTTCGTGGTTTAATCAATATATTGGAATTATACCAGATACGTTATGTATAAACAGTATTACAATGCAACAAGATTGGAATTTATTTACACAAATAAATGGTTATGTACTATGAAACTTGAAATTAGCAAAAAGCTGAAAATACTGTAAAAGTTTAAGGTCTTTTTTACGAATTCTCAATTTGAATTATTATATCTTACTCGTACATTTTATGTTTAGGTCCAGATGGTCAGAGTGCCACAATCAACATGAGGTATTATTTCCTGAAAACGGGTATCTTAAATAATCTTCAGAACGAATATGTTTACATCTACAAATGCACCGAAGATGATCGTAAGTCTATGAACAGATTTTCAAAAAGAGTTGTTTGAATGGTAAACATGTCACTTTCTACTACACATATCAAAGTCATGTGTTTTATTTCTCACACAAAATATAATTTAATGCATAATTGAACTGTCTTCACCAATCTCAAATAGTTATTTGTGTAACTATGTCTGATTTTTACCGGAGTGCGGCTGGAGCTCAGCCACACCTGCGAGGGACCCGACTCACGCACGCACACTCACCACCGTCCTAATTGCCTAAAAGCCCCGATCCCCTATTCACTAAGTAGAAACATAACATCTGTTAATGATACCTCAAAATTGCAATTCATTTGATGTTAGATATACAGTAAAATGGTTAGTGTTAATAAATTTGTTGTTTAATTCGATGAAAAATGAGTCCAAACACGAAATAATTATGACAAGTAGCTAGCTAATAAAAACGTGTTAAAATATTCGTAGCTTTTACATTTTGTAAGCAAAATATATATTGTTTGGTATCATTTTACTAAGCATTTTGAGCTGAAGTCAAAAGCATTACCAGATTTTATAACAAACGTAAAATTAAAAAAAATTGATAGTTTAATTTCCGTGAGCCACCGATGACTCAAGTGGCAGGACAATGGTCCGTCCCACCACAGAAAACATGTTTTCTGTGGTACCACGTCCGTCCTAATCCCTTGCGTCTGTGTGTGTGAGGCCTGCGTGTGTGTGAGTACGGTCGACCCTTCAGCCAGCCGCTTTCCGTCAACAATCACACTATAGTATGCGAAGTGGCACTTTGCTGTACACGAGAGAAATGTCTACGCACGAACCGTAGACGAGTGTGGAATGTTTCTCGAGTGCAACAATGGCAGTTTGCACTCGTGTTACACGTTATATTTTTCCTACAGATACTATAAATCATATAAATAATTAATCTTTTACACACTGTACAACACTTTTTAAGGTTAGGATAAATATTTTACCCACGTGTCTGATGTATTGCTAAAAGCTGTTTAATTTTAAGGTGTTGCAAAACCTAACATCGACGCTCGATATGTCATCTTTAGCGAAGGCGATGTAAGTACAGAAGAGGTTAAAGACGTGGCCAAGGTGGATGAAGATTTAATGCAAAGATTTGGATTCTCCAAGAAACTGGTGTTTGTAACATAGGCTCGTACATATCCCAACGTAAATTACTCATACTTTGTGTAAAAATATGGTTGCAAAATAAATAATTGTATGAAATATGGTGTTATTTTTTTATAGATAATTTTCTTTGTTTTCGTTATCAAATTTCTTCCATTTACGGTATGTTTTTCGAACTAAATCATAAAGCGTTGGTTATTTACACTCAAAATTATTTAGTACACATTCCAAAACATAATTTATTGGAATTCTTATAACGATAGTTTTATCATTGAATGTTTAGTGAGAATAAATAATATAAGGGTTTGCGAATCCTAAGACTTTACCGGTTAAGTATTTTTGATAATATTTTTATGGAACATTTATTCAATTTTTCAACTATAGCAATGCGTTTTAGAAATATTTCGAATACATTTAGATATTTTCTTGGTTTAAAACACAACCAAACATCATTTTCAACTTGTAAAAGTAGTTTCTGTTTTATATAGTTCACATATGAACAGTTGTTTTTTAGTAAATGTACGAAAACATTTGGAAAACACCTCTTAGGCCCGATTTCACAAAATCCTGGCTAATGATGGTTTTGTTAATCATCGGTTAAAACTAACCGTTTAAACCACAGTTAAGGAAATCTGGTTTCACCAACGAAAACGTATCAAAACTAACGCTGGTTTTATAAACGAGAGTTTAGAGTAAAATCCAGGTGGCGGTGGAAGTGATCTGTCATAATACCGGGCTGCTGTGGGAGCAAATAAACAGTAAACATAACCTAGAAAATAAATCCGTGTTAATGAGGTAGTGAAAACAAAACTGGAGACAACAAGGTTACAGGAATACAATAGATTCTGAGCAAAAAGTACACAATAACAACAGAAAGCAAGAACAAATTGCAAAATAATTAATATGAGTAAATAAAGGCAAAGCAATGTTGATCAAACATATTCAATTGAGAAACAAATTGATTGAGTTTTGCGATCGAGTCACGACTCAAAATGTAACTTTTACGTCTGACCGAACGCCAAACAATTGTTTGAACGTTGGGTTAGGGTTAGTCAAAACCGGGAAAAGGAAAATGGAGTCTATTTTTTAACAATAAAAAAAAATTGTGGCTTTTTATCGCCAATCGGTCCAACGCGATCGTTGATCACAGAGACTAAATTTATATAACCATTTGACACTTGCATCATTCATTAAAAAGAAACGAAGAATAATTTTAAAACACAAATACCTTAAGAAAAATGTCACACTGTCAGGGGAAATGCGAACCTCTATAGAATTCTTCCCTGAATGTTTTAGTGACTGTAAAGACTTCTGTGAGCTTTGCAGAGCTGGGGTGTCAAATCAATGAAATTGATAAATACTTTATACACCACCAACAGGAAAAAAAACAACAGCCACTACTACTACACAGTTACTATTGTATGTAAGGTGTTGTTTTACCTTACAAACATAGAGTACATTATCATTAGAGTGTTGAGTACATTATCAAATAGCTATAAGATATTGATAAGAGTTTAAATTTGCCCATTACTCAGAAGAAAATACTTTATTTGTAGGTAAGGAGTTTCTAAACACATAAACAAATCGTAAAAGATCATGGTTTTTATTTAACTGAATGCACTTGTAGAAAAATATACATACATAGGGCATGCAGTACAATAAATCGTCTAAGAATATTACCAATCAGATTATTAACGATAAGCATTAAATTAACTATATTATATTGATTTCATAGTGTTTTAGATAGAAGCAGCGATCCATTTGACCCAAATAGGATTAACCTTATTGGTCGTCTTAGGTTGTAGTAAATGTTAATAACATGTTAATGCTATAAAAGTAGTAATACTTTACTTTGAAATGGCGACCATACGAACGTAGGTATTTTAAACCAAGTATGAATGGGGATTAGTGTAGGATGAGTGGCGCGATCCTGTAGTCTTGTTAGTGACTAAGGCTGACACGTTCCTTAGACACAAGTGTTAATTAATAGCTCATGCAGCTAATGACAACTAAGGGACCTACAGTTTATTGTGGAACCCGAACCACACTTTGCCTTGTAATTAATGCATTAGTCTAATTATCAGGATAGTTCTGCGGATAGTAGTAGTACTCAATAGTGTGGACGTTAATCCACACCATAAAGTATCATATCCACACCAAGAAGTATCATATCCAGAGTTTATTCCTATAAATAACCACATTTCTTGTGTAATATAGGGTTACTTAATATAATATGAAATAGCCATAACCATAGACTAGGAGTATGTTTTATCTATGCCATAACCATTGTTATTCTGTTAGTTTTACTTATTTCAATCTACTATAATCATTATGAATTGTGGTTCAGAAGGATTAGTTTCATGAGTTTTTTAAAACACCGTAATCTATATGCTTAATACGGTCCCTGGACAGTTTGTTCTAAATATGGCTTAAGACTTACAAGCAAATATTATGCATTAAAACAAGCACCTTGGTTTGAATATTTGCAAACTGGCCTTAGATTATGGACTTATGACATAAAACTCGAAACAAACCGAAATAAAAAATCATGTGTTTCATGTATTATTTAACATTCAGAGAGTCCAGCTATTTCATTTTGTTATTTTACTAAAACAAAATCTAGCTGATAATTTCTTAATATAATTTCCATCTTGGCTCAACATTTTACGCAATTATGACTGAAGAGTTTAAAGTAAAAGTGAATTTTTTATTTTAATTATTTATTTTAGGCTACTGATATATTTGAGTTATAGTCCAACTAGAAAAATTAAAACTCGATTATTCTGCAGATTTTACTTACATGCTAATATTTAAAACTGATTTTGTTTTTGGCCTCTTTGGACAACAAAACGAAAAAGTATATCAATCCTGGGTCTAGATACCACATGAGATCTATTGTAATAGCACATTCCCTTTATGGGAAGTTTGTTAATATCAAGTTATATTTATGAGATCAAATTGTAAAAATTACTTATGTGAAATTTTTATATTATTAGGTCTTATTAGTTGTTCGTTTTCTTACAATAATTATGACTATTACTCGTATAGTTGGGATATTTTACAAATGATACGTGATGTTGGTTTCGAAAATATTATTTTGTTAGTGTTCGAGCATTTTAATACCGTCAATATAACCATAATTATATCACCTGTGTCAACAAACTTGTGCAACTCCACATGTGCCGTGTATTATGTAAGGCAACGATATCGTACAGTGTTAGTCGGTTTGATCATTTTAGCTAACGAACCAACTAACGCAGGTACAGATATTTCTTTAGTTTTAAAATATATTTCATATAAATTCTCACAAACCTTTTAGGAAATTTCTTTAACTGCTTGTCCTTGTAGCTATAGGTTTGTAGGTTTAAAAGTTGGAAATCTATTTCATATAAATTCTCAAAAACCTTTTAGAAAATTTCATTAACTGCTATCCTTGTAGCTGTACGTTTGTGTGTTTAAAAGTTGGAAATCTATTTCATATAAATTCTCAAAAATCTTTTAGAAAATTTCTTTAACTGCTTGTCCTTGTAGCTGTACGTTTGTGTGTTTAAAAGTTGGAAATCTATTTCATATAAATTCTCAAAAACCTGTTAGAAACTTTTTTTAACTTCTAGTCATGTAGCTGTACGATTGTGTGTTTAAAAGTTTGTTTATTATTACAGCACGGAGTTGTAACACTTGAAATCTGTTTGTTCATAACCATTATCATTATGATATAATATCAAAGCTGATAATAAGATTTTAACACTTTTTCTCATAAAAACTATTTTATAGCACTCGCTATATAATAAGAGAGGTGAATGAGAATCCGCAGCCGATTTAAACATTTGCTAGGATATAAGCCTACAATTGGAATAAGCAATAGAAAATAAAGTGTAGGAATACCATAAAAAATCTCTAAATTATATAAAGATAATTTTTTTTTAGTGGGCATAAAATAATTTTAAATGCCATTGATGATGTTAAAACAAATCTATATTTAAATCTTGTATTAGTTTTAGGTAGTATTTCCGCTTAATTGATTACATTTTGCATAATCCAGCACTGATTCTACAGTATTATGAAAATATTTTAAAGAACATTCAAGTAGAAAACTTGAAGGATTGATGCAATGGATGTTTTAAAGTTCACGATGGATTCATTCAATTATGTAGTGTTTTTAAAACCTTGATCGAATACCATAGATTTCGTGGTGGCTAAACATAGAACACAATTCACAAATTATTGAATTTAGCTAACAACAAACTTCAACTTAACAATAAAGTAAAAAATAATGAGTTTTTAACCATAAGACAACTGATTATTTAATCATAAATTATTAGGTTAGTCAAAAATTAATGAATATTATTATCATATATAGTAATGTGTGTTTAACAGATACACCGAGCCACAAAAAGAATGTTATTACTTGTGTTATTCTTTGCTGGAATCACAGCAGTCTTGGCTGATGATGAAACAATCATGGACGTAGGAAAATGTAAAGATATTGATGACCAAGAGCTGATGGATATTGATCCTTATGCTCCTGCGGTAAGGTTTCTTAATAATTTTACTTACCGTTATTCACACCAAAATACATTTAACACTTCTTAAAAAATTGTGCATGAATTATAGCACATTTTGAGTTATACTCCTAAACACATTACAAACTAAACATATAAAAGTCCAGGGTTGTGATTTCAGATAGTTCTATACAAAAATAAATATGCAGTACCTTAAGAATCTGATCAGGTCAGCTCCTGTCGCTTCTTGATGACTTTAAACTAAAACTGAAATACAATTCATCGAGTATGCTATAGAATTATTTAGATAATTGAGTATTACTGTTAACAAAAACTAAGAATGCAAATAGAATTTAATTAGTAGTCTCTTTAGAACCTGTGAGATGGTTATTTAAAGTATCATAGGATACCTAATTAATACGCTTGATTCGCAATGCTAAACTTGAAAGGGTTGGTGGCACTTATACGAGTTAATTTATATTCAAAATGAACTATTTATAAATTTAAGTATAATTTATTGTATATTTTTATTATTAAAGTAGACATTTAAGAGAACAGTATTGATATTGAAATCTTTCCAGCATCTGACGAGATTAC